GTCCATGTGTAATTTCACAAATAACTGCGGCTGCTCTAAATGAGCATGGAATTTTTGCAATCCGTATACCATATATACCACACTTGCATTCAACTGCTGGAGGTAGAATGTGCCGTATATGGCGAATCAGCAGTCAATGGGTTAGTTAGCATGCCAATTTAGTTTTATTGGCAAATCAAGCATTAGTTGTGGATGGACTCATACATTATTTTCACAGCCCATTGGCCATCTGATCTAACAGGCACCAGTCACCGTTTTATTGTATCAGAAACTCAAGGATTTATTTTGTCCACTGAACTCAACCAAAGAACTTTTGGTTAAACCATTGTCTGCAAGCATTCTCATCTGGAATTGGATTCTCACTGGGTCCACAAATCTGAGCTTTCAATTTCTCCAACTTGAATCAGACAAATACACAGTGTCTATACATGTATGTCTAGACAGAAACTACATTTACTGCACACACACACACACACTCCAATCTTCTTCCCTGTACGTAACCCCCTTTCTTCTAGTGAACCACAGGAGAACCTGTAATTCCCGAGCTGCTGGTCGATATGGAGAGTTTCCTTTCTGATTAATGCCAGCAGGTAGGGGATGAATTGGGCCTACCCCTCATTTGAGATGTAGGGCTGGGGTGTTGTCAGAAAGTGTAATACAGGAAACCCCATTACTATATGTATTAAGCAATTCCTGATGGATATGTCCAGCTGTAAGGGACTTAGAATTGCCTCAGGATTTAGATGAGGACTCTTCTTACTGTTTTGTCCATGAATAATTAACTAAAGTTCTTACCACACTACACATCTAACGTTCTACCAACCATATCCACCAGCATTAGATTTTCCCTGTTATCCTTTGCTCTACTATCACAATAACTTAACAACAGCAAATAAAAAAAACATTGAGAAAAGAGTATTCCCTGCTTGAGAAGGATGTAGTCTCCCACTGGGTGTTACTCTATTAGGCAACCCCAAGGGTTGTAGAAGTTAAACTCTAAGGGCTTTCCATTTCTGTCACTGTTTCTGAAAGGAGCTTATTTTTGTAATTGATCAACACTGGCCCCCTCCACCATCTTCAATATGGGATTCTAGCTCTTAGTGATGCAATGAGGTAACATTTCTGAAGTTAACATTTTCCTTACCTGAAAATGCATTTCAGTTAGATAGATACCTCCCTGCACTGCCACCTCACTTCTGATGCCTTTTATTTGCCTCATCAAGAATGTGCCTATGATCATGTGCTAGTGCTCACAGAGATTGTTTTACCCTCGATTGTGACAATTATTTTATAGGCTGGCATAATACACCTGTAGGGGTGGGAGTTTGTTCAAGGTTTGTGGCATGTATAGAAAATTCCATGTCAGTTCCATGTGAGGTAATAGCTCTTAGTGGTGCAGAGAGGTAAGTATATATATATTTGAAATACATTTTCAGTTAAGGAAAATATTAACTCTACTCAAATTATAAAACATAAGGTTATTCATTGTTCTTTTGGTATTTTGGAATGACGTTGTTGATACAGTTTCACAAACCATAAAAAGAACATACAGTATTTATACCCAACCAACTAATCTTTCTTGCTGCTTGCTTCAGAGAAGGCATGACAGAGAAGTATTATGTATTAACAACTGTAATCACTATCACAATGTAATCATTTTATTGTTTTGATGGTAAATGATGAAGTGAGAGACGAGAGACCAGAGAATAAAGAAAAGGTAATATAATTATTGTACATATAAGATTGTGGGTGGAGGGTGTGGGTGGGGCACAGTTAAATGTTACCCTAGGATTTTTCAAACCTTTACTATGTCACTGCAGTATTTAATTTTTATCTTTTTTTTTGTTCTTCCATAAAAGGTTTGGAGAAATTGCTTTCAACTACAGCAGGAAAATACTGTGTAGGAGACTCTGTTACTGTAGCAGATTTGTGCTTGGTCCCTCAGGTATATAATGCCAACAGGTTCAAAGTTGACATGGCTGAGTTTCCCCTTATATCTCGTATTAACCAGGCACTGTGTCAACTAGAAGCATTCCAGATATCTCATCCAGACAATCAACCAGACTCCCCTCAGCACTGAATGAACTAGAAGTAGAGCAGGTGTTTTATCTAGATAACTGACCAGGTTTTCTCAAACTTCATTCTTAATATACTTGTTAATTTCTACTACAAACAGCAATACCTATAAATCAAAACTAATAGGCTTTATTCAAATCTTTCATAAAACCAACTATAATCATTTTTGTTTGCCACAACGTGTTGGTAGTGTTTTTTGGAGCAAACAAACTAACAAATTTTGTGAATCATAACTCCATTTTGTAATGTTCCAATTCTTATTACAGAAACTTTACAAAGTTTTTTGTTTTATTGAAGCACTTGAAATAAAAAGCTTTTAATAAGAATTTGTAATAAAGTAACTGATGGAGCTAAGTTATTAAAAGAAAAGAGATATTCTTCTTCCATGATATGGAAGAAGAATATGATGATATGACAGGAAATGTATTGGTTTAATGAGATTACTAACCTTTAAAACATTAATCAATTTAGTAATACTTGAAAAAAGTGACCAATAATATGAATTTACAAATGTGTATGGTACAGTTTGCTTATAGTTTTAACAGATTTTTATTTTATAGACTTCCACAATACAATTACCTTAAGTTCATGCTCACTTTTTTGTAGGCTTAGTCCTGAAATGCTCATAAAATAAACTCATGTTTACATAAGAAACTTCAGCTCTAATTTGGTTTTGCATACAACTGAATTATATGTTAACACTATACTACAGTTAAAAATAGGAAATATATGAGTATATCTTAATTTCTATAAAACTTGCTCTTGAATGTTTTACTATATGTGAATTAAAGGTGAACTTTAATGTTTCTTAACTCCAACAAAAATGTTTACTTCTTGTTTTGATTATTCAAAATTAATGAAAATAATTTGTATGAAAAAACTAATATTATAATGCAGACATACGGGGTGAGTCATAAGTCTTGATTTTACATGTTATTATGAAGTAAGTGTGGAATGTCAGATCTGCTGACTTAGGGTGTTTAAGCGTATTAGGGGCCACTATTCACTTGACATGATGTCATGATATAGTTCAAATCAAGGTCATTCAAATGCATAAACTTACATAATTTTATAACACCCTGTATTAAAGTTATATATTTTCAACTGCAAAATTTTGTAAAACCCTTAAGGAAACCAACATTTCTAGGGTAATATTATTGTGTGATACAGCATATTGTTACGTCTCCGTTCGTTAGGAAACCAACATTTCTAGGGTAATATTATTGTGTGATACAGCATATTGTTACGTCTCCGTTCGTAAGGAAACCAACATTTCTAGGGTAATATTATTGTGTGATACAGCATATTGTTACGTCTCCGTTCGTAAGGAAACCAACATTTCTAGGGTAATATTTTGTGTGATACAGCATATTGTTACGTCTCCGTTCGTAAGGAAACCAACATTTCTAGGGTAATATTATTGTGTGATACAGCATATTGTTACGTCTCCGTTCGTTAGTTAATTTT